TGCCAGAACCCCCTCTCCCTAGATCATACCCCCACATTGTGACGAGTTCCCCAGCTGACGAAATAGCACCCTGATCGGCGAATATGTGCCCAAGTTACAGCAGGTTAAAGTTGTGCAGGGTCATGGATGTTCTTCAATATGACGATGAGTTCTAGGGGTGCGGCGGCTTAGTATCGATCTTCAAAAAGGGGCTCCTGGACCTCTAGGGAAGAGAGCACCCTCAATCCCCTTGTATCCTCCAATGCCTCCTTGCCTCGCTGAGCTCCCCCTCAAATAGCACTCTATTTGGAAGTTGGGGGACTGAGTGATACCCTCTTGAAAACTGATCCGAGGATCAGTTTCAGAGTGGTTCAGGGACTCACCCAGTCAATGTTAAACTAATCTAGGCAATTCCCAGAGGCCCTCAAGTCCGTCTGGGAAGCACAGCTAGCATCCGGGGCTACCATTCCCATCCCCACAGTGACAATAGCCTCTTTCCGGGGCTCTTGGGACTAGGTCCATAGTCTGTGGGCTAGGAGGCTGGACTTCAAGCCTCTCCAAACTGTAGAAATCTACTAATTTGTATTAAAAATTTAATAAATAAATAAATAAAAAAGGACACACACTTCACACGCAAAGCACAATCTGCTTTTGGTGTGTGGCGTACCTTTAAATTGCCCTATTCTTCTGTGCAATTTGATAAACTTTGCAGTTTAGCTGTATAAATGTAATCTATTTTTCATTAAATTATGTGTAAATAATATCATTCATGGTTCTAATGTACAACCACCTTGGTTTTGGATGCAAAATGGGAACATTTGCTGGCAAAACCCAAAAGGAAGGCTTTATGCTTTTATAATCACTGTTTCATGGCCATGTGTACTGATACAGCCGAGATCAGACCTTCATCTTTAACCCAGATACTCGTTCAATCGCTGTAATTTCCTCAGGATTTGCACACATCAACAAGACTAAATTTGGATTCAAATCTGCAGGTGTCAGATCTTGTAAAAACTGATACAGATGTTTCTCTGTCAGACATTATTTTCCCCATATCCTTCTGTAGCAGAAGCTAAGTGAGCATAAAGGGTAATTCAGGCTGTGTAACCTGTGTCAGTGTCAGAGGGAGGTCATGGAACAGCTACAGAAGTGACTTTAAAATGCCACTGTAATTTCACAGTCATAGAATAACACCAGATTATTATTGTTGTGTAACCGTATCAGAATGATCGATGGTATATGTCAACAGAATTTAATAAATATACCGTCAGAGATTAGAGTATATTTGCTGGAAGCTAGGTATATTTCAGAACTGATAATAACCTTGATAATGTTTTATATTGTATAAGATTCTTCAAACAGCTGAAAAGATAGAATATTAAAAATATTATGATCTCAACTGTCAAGTGCCCACATATCAGTCCCTTCGAATATGACAAAAATTCACTCTCTTTTTCTTTCCTCTCATTACTTTTACACCATTTTGTATCAATCAATGATATATTTAGAATGTTGCAATAAATATAAAACTACAGATATCTGCAACTGTTAGAATTAGTAGGTATTTTGTAAAAATCCTGTCTTACGATTCATATTTCCATTTATTTCTACAACAATAATGTTCAGCATATCATGAGATGCTGCGATGTTTGAGAGGGTGTGTAGGAAGTGGTTCTGTTTTTGATGGTTAACCATTTGGCCCCTGTCCAGGTATAGCAGATTACAATGTATTTATCTATGTTTGGTTAAAGGAGAATTGTTTTTTCCACGGTCATTTGATCATTTCTTTCATTTTCTTTTGTATCCCAAGTGAAGGCCAAATAGTTTTTCCAGAGCTTGGCTATAAAAGCTTTGGCTGTCATCAGGATTCTTGTTATTAACATCTAATTTTATTGTGTTTTTTGCAATTCACATGTTGAAGGGCTATATGGGGTAAAGTACGAATAGTGTGCCCTGTGGCTTAGACATTTCTTGGAAGGATTTATTTCTGGGATGTTCCTGAGTCCTGCAACTCGAGAATCTATATTGAGACAAATACTCATTAGTTTAGTTGGAACCAAGAAGATTATTTACTCAAGTGAGAAGTGAATCTCAAACTCAAGTCCAGAATAGTTGAAATGAAAGCACAGATGACTATTTTCAACCTGAATTCTCACTTTAGTTAATAACCGTGGGAGAATTATATGATGAGACTTTGTAACTCCGTATATGAGCATGTGACTCCGTATATGAGCATGTAACTCTGTATATGAGCATGTAACTCCGTATATGAGCATGTAACTCCGTATATGAGCATGTGACTCCGTATATGAGCATGTAACTCCGTATATGAGCATGTGACTCCGTATATGAGCATGTGACTCCGTATATGAGCATTGTGTGTATTTATAGTCCAATCAGAGATATGCTCCATTCACCTTGTGTGACTTATCAAGCTTCTTTTTTTTCTTTTTCTTTTTTAATTTTCAAATAATTTTTTTGAGGAGGCAGTGGGAGTGGTTATTTATCCAAACAAGAGTATTTATGTTCCTTATACATTGGGTTATTTTTGGATAATATAAGAGGACTTTCTATAGATCTGTTAAACGTTTTGGCAGTCTTTGTGGAATTATGCTAAATGCATAAGGTTATTTTAAGGACACTATAGGTTTTAATTACATTGCCTCTTCCAAACCAGGAAATGTCTATATTCTTAATTTTTTCTTCTATATATTATAAATAATATGTTATTTCATTATATCTTTATTGCTTTTGTGATATAAATAAATAAAATCATAACAGTGCTGTTGCAGTTATACATTTTGGCATACATGCCAACGTTGGGTGGTATGCAGTCAGGATGGGGTAGGGAGGCTGAGGGGCGTTGCCGTGATGCACTTTCCATAATTGGCAGGGCTGTTTAAAAGAGAGGTGGACCTATGCAGGGATCACAGCTGAAGTTTTCTTTGCAGGGTACTAGTGCCTGCTACACAGGGCGTCTAATGATGCACTCTCACTGTGGAGCTGTGACATCATTAGACTAAAGTGGGTCAGTGGGACAGGACCCAGATATCGGCAATATCCCACCAAAGCAGGACTGTTGGGAGCCATGCTTTGGTAACTGAGATGGTGTTAGATGGAAGCATCAATCCTGAAGAACAGATCTTAGAGATATGTTGTACCTTACATACCTTCAATGTATTCTATTTATAAGGTGATTAAAAGTGTATTGTAACTTGTATAGATCCCCGATATGTCTTCACGTGCCTTTATGTTAGTGGAGAAGGTTTTATTGGCATACTGTACTATAGAATAGACAGAAGACATCCTTACTCTGAGCCATTAAACCTTTGTTTCTTAATCAAAATGTGGCCCCTAATTGTTGGAACAGGCTTCCTGATATGTATCAAAGCACTGGCAACCCTTATATATGGTAGCCTAATTGCTTTTATCAGGACAGCATAGACCCCCCTTGACAATGCAAAGAGTGAAATTAAAATAATTTTTATATTAGTGTTTAATATATTAAATTGTAGTAATCAGTACCTAAGCTGAGTAAACATGTAAAGAATGGGGTCCCAAAACTAATGTCATGCATATAATTTGGCTCCATGTTCAGAAAGGGTTAAAGAGACACAATACCCACTACAGTCTGTTGTAGTGGTTTTATGCTAGCAGATTATAGGCATCACTCACCAATTCTGTATCAAATTGTTTTAGAGTAGTTTGCTAGATTCTAGGGGTCCCACAGACATCTGTGGACTAGCACCTTACTTGCTATAAAGAATGTAAAATTTATACTTCCTCATACACAATATCAATTGTGTCCATATTTGAACCAGAAAGGCTTAGCCTATGAAATTTCACATAAGCAAAATGTGAAGCAAGGGACTGAGCCACATGTACCTGGAGGACCCTATTTTTTTCAAACTAATTGAACATGGTTTGGCATAGAAACAGGGAATGTGCCCATATTCTGCAGTAGAGATATAGAAGGTATTTGCCCATATATGGGCTGGGCCGGAGGTGTCTGAATGGGGGCAAAGAGATACCTCACAACATTGGGAGGTATGAGATCAGGACAGAAAGGGGAAGGGTCTTTTTTTGTCAATCTTTCTTTTATTAAGGCATTTGATTTGGGTGGTACAGAATAAAGAAAGGGAGATGGATGAGATATACACAAGATTGGGTTATCACAGCATGGTTTTACATCTCCTAGATATGACTGCCTCTTTTTTTTTTTTTTAAATTAAGTAACGAGATAATCACGCTAAACTGGTGCGTCAAGACTGTGAGCAGATATAAAGTTTAAAAATTAAAGATTTTGTTTGCAAGAGTTAATTAAACAATGTATATTATGGCATGTAACAATTACTTGAATGGTAAGCATTTCACACACATCGAGGAAGGATGCTACTATAGAGAGATACTTGTTAGTTACTTGGAATGTAGGCTGAGCTTATTGATAGTATGATCGATGTACGTGATAAAACAAAACATGCCAGAGTTACAAAAGGAGAACGAAAACAAGTGCAGGTCAGTAGTGTAGTGGGGGGGTGATTTAGCGGCATGGTGGTATCAAGGCGTTATTTAAAGAAAAGAAAATAAGAGTCAACAGGCCTACAGGAAACATAAATGCAAGCATGTTGAACAGTCGGTCTTGCAGGTATCGCTGAGATTTAGCTTGTCAGAGCGAGCTTTGCCATTCAGCCGACTCCCTTGTGTGATCTTCCCTTCATGTAGTTAGACTGTCCATGCCACGGTTGATGAGGCACATCTGCTCTCACTTTGCCTTTCCAGTTTTGGAATCTGTGTGGACTGGGTACTGTCACCTGCTGCCAAGATGTGGATCCACGAGGTCTCCGTACCTTGCGTCTTCTGGCCAAGGCCTCTCCTGAAGTCCATTGATCCCTTCATCAGGATCGTGGGCCGTGGGTCTTCCGGGTTCCAAACAGACCCCTGGGTATATGGACGTCGGTGGAGGGTTACCTCCAATTGGGCCCCCAGCTTGGAAGAAGAACAGGCATAGAGTCCAGCAGTACCATCCAGCTGTGCTGCTGGAGGTGTGGGCAGACGTGTGCTATGCTCCAGAGAAGCCTCTGGCTGGGGTGGGAGGCTAGTTACAAGAGCGTCCTTGTGGGGCCCCGGGGTTGCTGGGGGTGATATCCCCCTAGGTTGGTTGGCAAGCCGGCACCAGAATTTCTGACATATAGCTTCAAACCTGTCATTGAAGGAGTCCAGCCTCTCCTGCGCCCCCTTGCTTGTTAGTGCTTGCGGTGTCTCCCATCCGGCGGCCTTTTTGGATTCGCCTCGTGGGGCGCGTTGCTGCGAGCGGATCGCTGCTCTGGCGTATGTTGCCTCAGTGGGGACCAGGTTATCCTCCACCGGACCAGTGGTAGGGAGAACGGGATATGCGGCAGGTTCCACTGCACCACGTAGTCCGTTAGCGACGGTAGGCCACAGCAGGATCTTCATAGGGAATATCAGCAGGTGAGTTGCTCCAATTTTCAAGAGCTTCCTCCTGGGCTTCAGCAACTATTACTTAGCAGAATAGTGCGATTTGTGCAGGTTTTCTAAGGCTGATTTGGATGGTCTGGAGATCTTGAGCTCACTCGAGGTACAGCCAGCCGCCATGATGCCCAGGCCCCACCCACCCCAAAAGGGATGGGCCTTCACGCTGACAAGGTCTGTTTGGCCATTCCCCAGCCTACATGACCTCGCAGAGATGTGCTCGCACTAGGCTGCCTGAGAGAATTTGCTTAATTTCATTGGGTATAGGACACCAGGGAACAATAATAGAAGGCATGGCAGGACCTGAATTTTGGACTGTTGGGGGGCCTGGGCAAAGATATTACAATAATCCTGCACTCCCAGGATTTATTCAAAGTATTAACCTTGAATGTTAACTATATACACTAAGTGGCACACTGTGTACTCACTGTAAAAAGATATTGTGTCTGTTCTTCCAAACTATTTAATACTGCTTCCAAACTATTTAATACTGCTAATTACTCATATTATTTATATTACTCATATTTAATCTCATGGATACCTCTCGTGCAGTAATAGATATTCTCCAACACAAAGACTGGGTGTGCAGTTGACTTCATTGTAAATAAATGACTTGATAGTGACAAATTATGACAGCTTAGCTGAAAACCTACCCTGGGTAAGAGAATACAGAATGTATGTTGCCAATAATTGCATGCTTGTCTAAGTAGCGATGAAGGGCCTTCATTTACTTATTACCAATCTGTAAGAAGAGTTGCATAAGACGTTTAATCTAAAGCACATAATAGTTCTAAGATTAGAAAAAAAAAAATTCTGCTTTCTTTTCACATATATCCTTTTACCAGTTTTCAGATAACAGTGTCCACATGAAGCAGTGTACAATCTTAGCACAACTTTGCCAACATAGACCATATCATACAGAATAATAAGACCTGGGCAAGTTAAATCCAGAACCGTCAATAAAACAAGTAAATGTGACGTGGGAGCTGAGCTCTCTATCTTATCTGCATAAAAAGCACCTTTGTACCTGTGAGCCTCGTCGATTGGTTCCTGTGTATTTCATGTGATTGCAAAGCTGGATGTCTATTTATCGTTTAAAACTGTCACTTCCCAGGATTTTTATTATGTTTACTTATCCTTATACGTAAAGGGACAAACTATAGTCACCAGAGCGACTTTAGCTCAATGAAGCAGTTTTGGTGTATAGAACATGCCCCTGCAGCCTCACTGCTCAATCCTCTGCCATTTAGGAGTTAAATCACTTTGTTTATGCTGCTCTAGTCACACCTCCCTGCATGTGACTTAACCCTGTCCTAAACACTTCCTGTGAAGTCATCTAATGTTTAAAAAAACAAAAAACAAAAAAAACACTTTCATACTACCTGTGGGTCATCCCCCATCCTCAGTGAGAGTAACGGTGGGTGTGTTTTTGTAGCTAATCCACCAGACCCTTATCCTTGTCTTTTGGGGCTCCTGGATCAGCTAATCTTTCCTTATTATTTTATCATCTAACGTTTACACTTCCTTTATTGCAAATTCTGTTTAATTTTGAATTTCTTATCTCTTGCTCTGTTAATAGTTTGCTAGACCCTGCTGAAGTTTACTGTATGCAATTTAAACTCAAGAGCACGTGGTAAAAACATTTAAAATAAGTTACATCTGATTGAAAAAGAAACCATTTTGTTTTCATGCAGTCTGTGTCAGTCACAGCCAGGGGGTGTGTTGCCAGGGCTGCATTAACAGAAACAAAAGTGAATTAACTCCTAAATGGTAGTAAATTAAGCAATGAAAATTCAGAGGCATAATCTATACACCAAAATGGCTTCATTAAGCTAAACGTGTATTGGTGACTATAGTGTCCCTTTAGCAAATAGTGTTTGTGGGGAATGAAAAATTAAAAAGACACTGTAGGCACCCAGACCACTTCAGCTAATTGAAGTTGTCTAGGTGCAGTGTTCCGTTTGCACTTAGTACAGAGAACTGCATTGTTTACATTGCAGCTGTAAGTCTGCCCACAGTGGCTGTCTACCACTAGAGGGCTTCCGGCATCGAAACGGACCTTTTGTCCGGTGTCTGACGCTGGAAGTCCTCACGCTCTGCATGAGGACCTCCAGCGTCAGATTTTTCCCCATAGGAAAGCATTAATGAATGCTTTCCTATGGGTAAATCCTAATGTAAACACAACAATGGGCGCACATGCGCCCTAGGTCTCCCCCCTGCTGACGTCAGGGAGGAGTATGGGTGGAGCCTAACCCAGCGCCGAGGGACATAGGCTCTGAAATCAGGTAAGTGACTAAACGGATGTTAACCACTTCAGTGCCGAGGGAGGGAGGCACTCAAGGGAACTACAGTGCCAAGAAAATGGCTTTGTTTTCCTGGCACTATAGAATCCCTTTAAATTAAATGTAGAAATCCACACCTCCTTATCCTGTAACCAGGTACCTCTATCAAAACTCCCTGGTAATCCAGCACACAGAACATACAGGGAACTGGAGTAGTAAAACAATGTTGCTATTTTGCAATTTTACTATTTCACCTCTTCATTAGTTATCCTTGGCTTTGCTTAGTCTGAACTGGGTTATGGTGTCATTTGTAATGCATGCCCTGGCTATGTTTTGCTTGATTTGGATTCTGATCTAATTTACTAAACCTTTAGAAAAATGTAAAAGAAAACAGAAAAAATATTTAAAAAATATTAATGGTGATTTTCAATGTTTTATTAAATTATGTAATATCCATAGTAGAGACTGGTAGGCTTTAAGATTAAAACAAATTAACTAAATCAAAACGGTGTGGACCTCACTCTGTGCTCACTGGACTTGCTTTAGGTTTATAGAGTTAGTTTAATATGACAGTCGTGGTTTATACTGATATTTTACATACAAATTATGCATTCTCTTTGGTCATTTTTCATTATTTTTGCTTATCACTATTAAAGGAACATTAGAACGTTAAGAATATATATATATTTCTTTTAACATTGCGGTGCTCTTTTTATTTCAGATTTAGATTTTATTAAGTGAATACAATAAATGCAACTTTTTTCAATGTCAAGACGAGCTCCTCTGTGCAGCCAGGTGGCCATCATCCCTGATGATATCAAGTCCAATCCAGTCCTTCTCATATAGAAACATTTGGGACCTAAGGCACATGCACAGCAATTGCCACACTCCACCAATCTGATGCTTCTCATAAAGAAGCATTGATTTCCATGCTTCATAATGAGAAGCATTCCCTTTCTCTATGAACTGTAGTTTAAAGCAAGTGAAACAGGAAGCTCTCTCCCAGCTGTCTAATTGACAGCCAGCTTGGTGTAACTTTTATGAAAGTGCAAATTATTTCTTTTATAAAATAAGACAGAGGGATGCCTTCACTTAAACCCTTAAGCAAATCAACGCCAAGGGACTACAGAGTTCATCTAAAGGCCATAAATAAACTATCAGAAGGAACAACTAGAATGTATTTACTAAAGTCTAAAATGCAGCCAATATGTAAATTTAGCATAGAATTTAGGGACTAAAATTCCATTTGGCAAGATACCAGGCTAGCTTGGCATTATGAATTTTATCTCTAATCCCACTGGAAAAGTAGGGAAGGAGTAAAAGGCAGTCAAGGGGCAAATGATCCTCCACCTTATCATACTAAGAGGTCAGGTATTAGGGGACTCACTTGTGATGGCTCCCGCCTGGTAATACGAAATCTTGCAAACCACTACTTTTTTTTGCACCATGCCTTAACATAGGCCTCAATTTAATATTTTCCATTAGAAATAATTCAATATTTTTTTTAATAAACTTTAAATGTTTTTAACATTTTAATAGCTTGATATTATTTTGATAGTTGGGATCCAGCTTGGTTGAAAACGCTTTGAATCTCTTTCAGAGTTTTGATTTTATGTATATATCTTTTCTTCACCTTTGACGTTTGCAACAGTCATAGATCCAGAGATAGCATGGTCCCTGTTTTGATAGGATTTCTTTTTACTTCCCCTTTTTATCTAAATTTAATGTATGTTTAGTTTACAAATTGTACATTGCCACTGAGCATTCCCTACTCTAAAATCAGAACAATATGGACCTACAGTAAAACATCACTTACTGTGTGATCCAAAATTCATGCTCTTGTATACGGATTTGGGTTAAGTTGTCAGGAATAAGGTAGAAAAAAAACAACATATTACCAAAATATTCTTATAGTATTGAGATACAAATACAACTGTTAAAAAAACAACAACACAAAAACAAAAAAAAACTATCTGTATGTTTGATAGAACCTGGACCATAGATTAGAAATTGGCATGCTATGCTGTAATCTAATATCTTTTTATGTATTTTGTTTAGCAATATGTTTGGCTAAAACATTTTCAATCTTGCTGGGGTTACATTAATGGCAGTGGTTCAGAACACTTGTATAAATGTTGTGGCCTGGAGTGTTTTATAGTGCTTGCACTCTGTGAAATTAACTGCAAAGCAAGCTCCCAATGAATACTGTCTGCAAAGCAGATGTATTGTATTTTGACATTTTTCTGTACTTCGTCTTAATAAATGTCTGTCAGTGTGTTCTGTGAAATTGGCACTTTAAAAAAATAAATAAAAAATGTTGTTACATCCCACCGGGTTGTCAATAATGCAACCGGTCCTGGGGCTAAAAAGAAGAGGCAAGCAATTGCAAGAGCGCCTTGAAACATGCATGCATTTAATTATGCAATTTTGAATTAATTGGGGGTTTATGTAAAAGCAGCTTACAAAAACTGCAGATCTCTGGTCTGCAGCCTTTGCAAGTCCTCCTCTTCTTCCCCAGCCCAGACATTCTGT